CCCTGAATACACAAATGCAAATGCAAAGTTTCTTGTTTAGAAGAAACCTCCAGAAGGATTTTTTTTTTTTCCCCATCATTGTACTAGGGGTGGGGGCTACACGGGAAAAGATTGCGGGGAAGTCTTAAGTGTCTTACAGCTACAGAAACAAGATCTATTTCTGTGTCTTAAATCAATTCACTGTGTTAGAATTTCAACGCTGGATACATAATATTCAGAAATAGGAAGTAGAGAAAAAGGAAGTTAAAACACAGAAGAGTTGTAGAGCCTTACAATAATTTGCTCCCCCAGTGAACATCCTTTTAGCCTTTGTTCTCTGGTATAATATAGCAGTGGTACACGTCTCAGCTGCTATGTTTTTGTAACAGGTTCATAAGGCTGTACTAATGAATTACCTTTTTGTTTACAAATATTTGCCACTGTGACACATACTTCTAGAACCTTTGAGGAGAAAAAGACACCACCTATTCTTGGCTAAATCCAATATGGAAACAAACTATCAAGAAAACATAACAGATCTAATAGAAAAAATACGTGCTGTAACATGAGTAAAAGTAAGGGAAGAAAGTAGCAGTGAATCTGTCTTGGTGTCAGAGTTAACAGCATATCCAAGTGCAACAACATGACGGAGTATCACACACAAATGAAGAGCATAACAGAAATAGTGGTCTGTATCCTTCAACATTTGAAAAAGTAGTAGCAGTTGGTTTGTTCAACAATACATATGTGAAAACATTAACAGAAATGAAGCAAAGAAAAACCCAACCTTCTTAAGAGAGCACCTTTACAAAGGTAATTAACTCCTTGAATAAAACTTTAAGAACCCAACTTGCAGGACAATGTAATGGGAAAAGCAAAATAATTTCTTCTAAGAAATCTTTATTCTAGAACAATAGCAGTTTCAGCAAGTGCTGTCCCAAATTTTTAATGAGACAAGTCATCCTACGGCCTTGATTTTCCATGTAAACGAGGAAGCACCAAATAACTCTAAGCCACTAGGACTTTTTGAAGTATTTTTAAATAGCTGTTTATAGCATGCACACTCTGACACCACTATGTTAAAAATTCAGAGTTGGGTGAGGTGGGTGGGGGAAACAGGAAAAAAATGACCCTAGGATCATTTTGACATGTCAGAGACTAAGCCCATCAGTACTCTTGGGTTTCAGGATAGTCTTACATCCCTTGAAAGATTTGTTATCTGTGACACTTTATGCGTAAAGTTTGGTAAGTTTGATTTTTCCAAGTCACGCATTTTTGATTCTAGTTGACCAAGAACGGGTTTGCGTTCATTTGAGACCTCCAAAACCTCTGAAGGAATTTTTCAGAAACAAGCATTGATGTCAAACCCGTTAATTTTAGGGAGGTATGTTTTGGCACCTGAATACTTGTATGAGAAACAAAAGATGTGGTTTCAAGCGTATTTCTGTTGACAAGCTGGAGCCATAGGACTCTGAAAAGGACAACCGACATGACTTTTTTTATACTAGAACATATATTTCTATCTTACATTGGTAATTCACACCAACATCTAATTTCTCTAAATCTTCAGTCACCTACCATTACTAGGGCTGTGATCTATTACTAGGAACATGATCTGAACATGAAATTTTAAGTTTCCATTAGAGAATTTTGTGCAGATTTTTAGAAGCTTAGTTCCAAAGCACACAATTCTTCTGCTTCAAGTAACTGAGTCATGGCATACAAACAGTCTCAGGTTGCTGTAGAACAACTTCCTGCTAAAAAAGTTAAGAAAGTTTATCCTAATCTCTTGTCCATGAACAGAGGAACAACCTCTTTTTTTAGAGGTTTAAAGCATTTAAGAGATGCATAAAGCTTTTTAGAAAATAGGCAGTGTAGAAGCTTAAGTCAGTGAATTATTCAGATTCTCCTCATGTTTGAAATTATTTTTTCTACTTCCATGTACCTGTTGCTGCTCGTAAGTGAGGTTTGCTACAGGTGACTAGCTACATAGTTCAGCTTCTGTCCTGTAAATATCAATTCCCAAGATAGTCTTTGCAGATTGCTGACATAGCACACCACAAATAGACTATATAAAGACTTTCACAAGAAAGTCATTCAAACATCACTGATAAAGTTTCCTTTTACAACTAATATTCAATATGTTATACTGGAAATTAACACTAACGTTAATGAATAATTTAGAATTAATATTGTAACAAAAATCTTGTTGAGGCCAAGTTTTAAACCAAGACACTCAGCCTGAATTATATTTTGATAATTAAAATGAAGTTTTAACCATGAATGTAGACAGCTCCCAATGAATCCCACACCTCTCAACCAGGTTAAAGGATTAGACTTCCAAATCAGTAAGTAGACATTGTCTCCTCACCTCTTCCCAAGTATGTAAATAATCTTTCTTGAACAGGCTGGTAGCATTACATTGATGTTGTGTACACCAACACATCAAAGACTCAAGTTCGTGTAAAACGCCCCTCTGAACTATTAACTGTCTGATTCTGTAGCACTTAAAGGAAGGGTCTCCAATGTCAGTAGGGATTTGAAGTGCAACAATCTGTGTTGTTTCAACATTGATCTAGTAAAATAAATGAAGTCTTTACCTTCTTGGCAACAGCAAAAGTTGTTAGAAACTTTTCAAATCACCTATTACAATTTTCAGCAGTTGGACCACTAAATGCTTCTGTTATTAAATATAAGCTTCCAGATTTCACCTATTCAGACATTTATTATGCCAGTTCTCAGCATTTATAGAAATTATACTACAAAACTACCTACAACACAGATCAAGTGCCTGAAAAGTCAGCTAAGAGACTGTCATCATTTAGAGGGTCGGATGAAAACAATATCTAAAACTTGGGGAGCACATTTAAGTTGCTCCAAAGAACTAAACATTTATCAAATGGTATTTTTGTACAAATGTATAACAAGATAGATTTGTGGGAAAGAATTGGTATTATTTAGAAGTTGAAATAGTCCTATTCTGTCAGTTAAAAAGTGCTCTGGATGCATGATATGACATGCACCCTTGTTACATTTTTACATACATGATACTTTACCCTTCTGCGCTTGCTCTGCAACAATTAATTCCCTTTCAGAGTATCCAAAAGTCTAGTCTCTATGATGAGCTCCATTCATTAAACAGAAAGGCATAGTGGAATAAAACTTCAGTCCTGAGCTTTTTCAACAACTTCTTAACAGAAAAAGAGTTATTAAAAATTTAGTTGGAATGGTTGACAATCAGCACTCCAAGGCTAATGTATCTCCAAATAAAGAAGCTATGTTAGGACAAAATACAATCAATTTCAGCAAGGCTAGTGCAAGAAGAAAGCAGATGGCCTAACAAATTATTAATACAGAAGAAACCTTTTTCCTCCAACAAAAATGAAACAATGAACATGTTTATTCATCTCATCCAGGGAAGACTGCATTCCGGCTTTCAGCTAGGGCCAACTGATCAATAAACAGTTATCTTGTCTCAAAAGAATTTACATCAACAGTCTGTCATTTTAAATAGGCATGTCTTAAAAAGCAGCCTCACTTCAGGGTTCGTGTTCGTGAACACTGGCTATTTCCATGTTTTCATTCACTGCAGTCATTCAAGATCTGAACTGCAAAAAGGATATGAGGTATGCTGGCATTCCACTCAGATTGGTAACAGAACAAAAGGGGTCTGAGGCATTAAGACTTAGCTGTATTTGAGAAGGGACATAGGTGCTGCTTCTTCAGTGTTTTGGGGTGTGTTTTTTTTGTTTGCTAGACATGAAAATTAGACTTTAGAAACAAACAAATAAATGAAGACAGATCAGAAAGCAGCTCTCAAAGATTTGCCAAGATAGATGATCTCTCCCCTGACTGGCAAGAACCACAGTAATCTCAATACTAGCCTGGGTCTCAGTATTGCCTAGAGTCCAGTATTTTCTTCTCAAGTCAGTAAATCTTGGATAAATACTATTAAACCGTTTTTGTTACCTCACTGAGAAACAGATTTAAATTCCACTTTTACCACATGTTAACAGGCAATAATAATTTGTAGTCTGAAATTCCTTTTTCTACTAATCTGCATGAAAGATATTCCCAATTTATGTGAGACTTTCCTTGTCCTACTGTGATCTTTCCAAGTTCAAGAATTTCCACATTTATTACTAAGCAACTTTAATAAAGGCAGTATTTTCTGTATCACAGTTAAGATACTAAAGCACCTGGTATCTTGGTATAGAACAGACTTCTGAAGCACTGTGAACACAAAATGTTTTAAAAACCTAGTTGAATTAGATAACCACACAATTTATTTTTTAAAAATTTGCCGGGAGTAAGAATTGAGATATTTCAAAGAAATTATGGATTTCCATGACTGCCACTGTTCAAGTTCTACGTTTAATTGCTAACCTGCTTTTTTATAATGAAAAAAACGTCCAAAAGCAAGCTTACTCAACTATGAGATGCTTTGTGAAGGACCAATGTTTCAAAGGGGTCCAAACAGCCTTCATTTGATGAAGATATACTTCTTGGGCTCTCTGTAAGCACGTAGCCTGTACAACTGTGGCAAAGAAGTCATAACTGACAATATAGAGTAAGTAAAGGGTATGATAAAAATGTAGTAACCGAATTTCAATACAACATACTGACCCATTCAAAGTCTCACTGTAATAGTTCACCTGTTCTGCTCCAGAATAGCTCTACAAGAACCTTCACTAGTACAACCTAATCTGAAGTACAAGTCTTTTCATTTCTTACTAACTTTTCTACATTTCCTTCAGAGAAAATACTTGAGATGATAGAAAACCAGATTACAAACAAATAATAGGCACTATCAACATGACCTCATTTTAATACTAAAGCTAAACAGCGATTTTAGTATATACTCAAGTCTATTAAGCTGTTTTGTCAAAAGTATAAAGTCTCTCACTAGTGCTGGTGAGAAAGTAAAAATAAATAAAATAGCACAAGTGGGTATGTTCAACCTATAGTTTAATTGAAAGCATACTAAAACCAACCCAGTATAAGCTAGACACTGATTTGCTAAAAACCCTCACAGATGAAAAAGCCCAGGAACCAAGAGGTAATGATCTACATTACCACATGTCTTAAGGTTACTTCCGATTCGTATTTTTGTGCCCAAACCAGGAAAGACTGGGTGCACCACAGTTGAAAACTTATTTAACTGACAGACCTCACGCTGCACCAACAGCATTCTCTATTGGCCCTTTCAATAGACTGAACAAGAAAGAATTTCAGTCTGCTTCTGGATGAACTCACAGTGACAATACCTAAAATACAGGAGAAACAACCTGACGGCAATTCCCCAGGAGTTTATCCATAGGTGTGGAATGGAAGGAGTGTATAAGATTGCATTATTTTTTACTGCTTTTACATAATTTATAATACTTTAAACACTGGTCTCATAAATATAATATGAATACTTTACACATGCCAAGCAATTAAAACCTTTCCCCAACACCTTTTAAGTCTTATCAGAACTACTGGCAGCATCTGTTGACAGCATCTGTTTTTAGTCAGTAACCATTTAATTTAGTCAGAACTACAGATAGGTTTTCTTCAACCAACATCTTAATATCAAAAAACTTGTAGGAACAAAAAGACGGCTGTAAGCATATCAGTTTGTCTTAAAGTGATTAAAGTCAGCATGAAAAGAAGATTGTCTGTGATTTAAGATCTGTTGCTTGTGTCCCCACCCCTGGTGCATATAATCTTTAAATAAAAAGTGCAAATGGGATTTGGGGACTGGATGGACTGATTTGCCTACTGTTTGTCTTCAGTTGCTTATTCTGTAGCCACCTCACATCAACTGTCCCGTCGTACTTTGGATTAGCTACAATTAAATTTAAAATAAGGCTCACTGAAGAAAAAGAAGAAATGATATATAACTTCCAGACTCCTCCTACCCCTAAGTCCCACAAAAGTGCTCATTTCCCTTTAAAAAAAAAAACACAAACACAAACCTAAATTCTTGATTACAAAACTATTAAACATTTCAGTTCTACCATCCATATAGTGACCTTCCTTTCAAGCAAGGCCAAAAGAGTGATGGTGGATTCCCTTTGAATGCAAGATACACTACACTTTTCGTAAGTGGACAGGCTGACATTACGATTGCAGTCTTTTCTGCGAGTGTACAGATGTCAGATGAACTGGTCCATTTCTGTGGGACCTTGGGTGTATGAACACCAGCAGATAAAGATCTAAGACTGATAATATAAACCCAACATGAACTATTAACTTCCAAGACCACCTACTGTATAAACAAGTCTGATTTTCTAAGGGATCAGTCAACAGCAGCTGCGCTTCGTCACCGATGGCTGTCTTCTAAGTTTGAAGCCCTTACCACTAGACGGGGGGTTGGTGTCAGTTGATGGAATTCTGCGACCTACAAGGAGGCAGGAAAAAATTTACAGCAAACATCGTACTTGAAACAAATGCTAAGCATTCAGTGTATGTTTTGTATACAAAAATGCATCTTCAGTCAGACATTAATGACAACATTCCTACATAACAGAAGGATGGCTGTTAACAGTCTATGTCTGTAAGAGGTATGGTTCCACAAAAGAGTAGACACAGTTTTCAGCTAATTTTGCAGCATATACGCTTCAGATTAGTCTAGACTTGGAGAGCTAAGCTACAAAAGCACCCAGAGAATATACTCTGCAGGATCCAATACCACCTGGAATATCCTCATTGAAAACTACCACCTTGACCTGTATTTCCACAGCAGATCACCTGCATTGGGCTTAGCACAGAAGTGCTTGTAAAGATAGCTGCTTCAGTCATCTAATCGGTCTTTAAGATTGACTATTCCTGGTTGAGTATTCTTTTCTGAAGAAGATTTATGATTTCTTCTTTCCATAGTTTATTCAAGATCAATTTTAGAGAGCAACTATTAAATCAGTAAATCAAGAAGCTAATCTACAGCACATACTTCTTACATCAGTTTCAATATGTTCAACTGCTTAAAAAAAAAGAGTCCTTAAGTCTAATGTTTCTGTAGTTATTCAAAGCTAACCTGCAGTGCGCACACAAAAATGGATTGCTGTTTGTCCTCTTTTCACAAACAGGCTGCAATACCTGCACATTGGTACTGCTGCCTGAAACACATCCTGCAAATAGTATTGCATGGAATTCACTTTAGCATGTTTTCTGCTTTTCATTCACACAAAAAAATTTGTCATTGTTATCCCTGTGATGAATGAGACAGAAAGGATTTGCAGTTTAATTAAAAAACCTCAAGGTATCACAAAAATACTTGGGGAAAATGTACACACAATAGTTGTTATTTCACAGGCAGAAATCTGGCATTTATGAATTCTTACATGTTTGAAAATGCATTGTTTTAGACCAAGTACAAACACTAAGAGTGAGAACTTTATTCCTTTTCTCAGCTGTATAAAGTTTGGATCTTCCTCATGCCATTTCCTTTCCCTCCTATAACCTTGGAACTACTAATTAAAACATTCAGTAACAGACACAGTAAGATGACACTGACTTCTGACATGAGTGCCCTGCTTGCTATTTATCCAGCAGCATCACAGTAGGCCTAAAATTTCTAGAAGGAATATTTAGAGGTCATTAGATGTCAAAAAATTTATACAGCTCATTTTGCAGTTTGTATTCATGTCTAATTGTAATAAATTTAAGTCAGTGTACTCTCACCTAAATAGCACAGAAACTAATAAAGTAATCAAATTGCTACTTGAACTTCTTTCAGAAGAAAGCACATTAACTGTTTAAATACTTACTAATTTCTATAAAGAGTTCATTAATGTTTATTGCATTTTTCGCACTTGTCTCTACAAATATTGCATGAATGGAATCTGCATAGTCTTTAGCATCTTTTTCCATGACTTCTCTGGAAAAACAAAGCAAAGAAAAAAAAGTAAATGCAAAAAAACCATTATTGAAAGTCTTAAAGGATAGACTAACCTTTTAAGTGTCTCATTAAATGAGTATTTTGTATTTTACCTGTTTAGCATCACAGTGCTCCCTCCTTCCTGAAGCTGATGCTCATTCTTTACTCTATGCTGTCTCCCTGCCTTGAGGTATGAGCATCATTGAAGCACAATCATAAACTAAACAAGGCCTTAATCCATCTGACAACGTTACAGTGGAGTTTGTTTCTTTAGTGCTCTAAGTGTAGGTCTGCAATCAATCATTAGGGGGTGCTTTATTCTTCACACACAGAACAGTTTTAGATGTACTGAGAGTATCCTAAAACATTAGTTCTGTTAATCCAGTGGATTTCCTACAGCTGTTTACAAAACCAAGTATCTCACAACACTGCACAGATCATTAGTATAGCATTTAGTTTACAGGAAGCATGAAGACATAGCTATAAACAGAAGCATATTAGACTGAGCACACAACAAAGCCAAAAAGTGAAAGTTATTCTGCACCCCTAAGGAAGCAAGTCAATAATATCGTTTCCTTAAACACGAAGAAAAACAAACCCCAATAGCAGGACTATATGTTGTACCTTTTTCCATACAATTTCTAGAACACATAGGCTGCTTCCAGTGACAAGGGACTTAGGATATCAAAAGCACAGACTTTGGATCAGTGACTCAAATATTGCCTCTGACTGAAGTACAAGGAATCTTGCTCATTAGCTTGAATAGCAATGTTTACATCATTTATTATGCCACCTAAGCACCAAGAAATAAGCATGTGAGACAATACTGCATGCCTTGTATTTGTCTTCTAAGTAATTTTATGCCGTATTTCCTTCAAGAGACATGCTACTTCTAACACAGGTTATCAGAGCTTACTAGATAACTGCTATTTATTAACAAATTTTAGAACTATACTAAAAAACAACTTTGCAGTCGTTCTTTAAACAAATAACGATCTGGCTCCTTTGAGACACCAGCTGTGGTACCTTTTCCAATGAAATCTAAAACCAAGAAGTTTGCACACACCCTCTTTATGAATTTTGACTTGTTTAACCAGGACATCAATAGAAAAGGGCTTCTTTCGTTTTTAGCACAGGCCTTCTTGGAAGTTTGGCTATTCATAAAGTTTCTCAAGAACATCTCCCTGCTCCCTGCAACTATTTCAGCTACAGCCAATTCCACCCCAATATTTAAGCAGGGAAGGCAGGCACCTGAACAAGCAAGTCAGAAAAACCTACACAATGCTTTCCAACAGGCTTGACGTTTTTCCTAACAAAATGAGGTGCTATGGACTGACAGGGGTACTTCTTCTAAAGTGAAGTAAACAGCTTGTATTACACTGTAGTTTCACAGGCAGTTTCAGCTTGTGTAACTTGGCACTGCCGCCTGAAAAGGTAATCCTGTCTCCCTGTAAACTGCTCATTCCTAACCCTGCTATCCCACCTCTGTCATGCCAGCAAGCGTTCATGGTGTGAGCAACATAAATACACTTGGATCAGTTTTCCTTTTTTTAAATGGTTAGTTTTAACTTGGATCCATTTTACAGCCTGATTTACTGTCCAATCACACACGTACTCACACAAACACAGGCGAGGAAGTGGTAAAGACTGTCCAAGGGCAGACTACCCAAATCTTCTGACAGTAGAAACAGCTCAGACCCCTTGTGAAACTTCAATGCTAGTACAAAACAGCTTAAATTGCCCTGTATCTTTCACCTGCTCTGAAATCTTAAAATATTTAGCACTATGAACTTAGGTGAAAACATATGAATGGTCAACGGTTATTTACCTTACGTCATTTAGATCACACTTATTTCCTGCAATAGCTACAACAATGTTTGGTGGTCCATGCTGCCGAAGCTCTTTAACCCAGTTCTTTAATGTTGAGAAAGTTTCCTGATGTAGAAAAAGAAAAAAAAATAACAGAAGGAATAAAGAATCAGAACTGGTGCATGACACAAAAAACCCCAGAAATTATAATGATGGGTCAAGGTAAAATTTCTTACCTCTTTTGTGATGTCATACACTATAATGGCTGCTGCTGACCCTCTGTAATACATTGGGGCTAAAGCACGAAACTGAAAAAGACACCATAAATTATGAATCTGATCTTCCACTGACTTCCATGATTTCTTTCTTACTACTAAAGAAAGTGAAAATTAGCTTTAAAGTTCACATGAGTGGAAAACTTTTCTTTACAATTACAGAGAGTCTGTGCAGTAGGGTACATAAACTTCCATGAAATTATTGTTTTAAAGGCCAACCAATAAATAATCAGCAGCACACCTATTGCAAAAAGTAGGAAGCCAAACTTGACCTTATTTTGACTAGATTAGAATCTCTCATTTAAAAGACTGTAGGTTATACAGAGACACAAACACCCAGGATATATGTTCAACTTTAAACACTGCGCAATGGGAAACAGTCAAAACTGAACTTGCTTCTTCCTCTTTAAGACACTCATGCTTTTGGACAAAAGGTAATTTCAAGAAAACTAGCATACATTACTGCTGATCTGAAATGTTCAGAAGTTGGTGTCAACCTCTAGCCCCATGGACCAGTCATGGCACTCATAAATGCCAGAAACGTTGGTTTCTTCATAATCTAACTTATGACTTCAGGGATTTCGCTTAAGTTTTTCTTCAAAACTCCGAAGTTAGAAGCACATTTAAAACTAAAAACTGCGAAAGCCCTCAACTATGTGACCTGCTGCAAATAGAACTTTAAGGAACATGCTAGATAGTAAAAGGCTACATTAATTTTATTGTCATTTTCAGAATTAAATCTATAGCAGGCATATTTGGTTGGTAGTGCATTTGCAGGGTATAAGCCAGGCCTGTGTCTTTGCATAGGCAGACTGTTACGAACCCAGGACTGAAAAAAATCTGATAGTCCACAAGATTGAGTCGCATCAGAAGTATCAATCAAGCATTCTTAAAAACAGTATGATATTCTGCCAATTCAAAAAGAACCAGACACCTAATCTAACAAGCAAAACTCTTAGTCAAAGCACGGAGTAAACTGCATGTACTGCTCTGATATAAGCATATGTGATTTGGAGCTTTTATGCATCTTATTACTCAGGGTAAAATTATGAATAGAATACAGTTTTTCCTAAAGGCTTACTTGGTTCCAATAAAATACCAATTTCCTTTTACTTAATACAGTTCAATTGAGAGCAGCATTATAAATCATAAAAATCTTGCTATGAAGCAGAATTCCAGACCATTTACATTTGGCTCTCAAATTCTGTTTTGAAAACAGGATTTTGAACACAAAGTTCAGAATATAAAAATATTTAATAGTGAGAAAGGGAAACATGGGCAGGTATTCAGTTCATATTGGGACATAATTCCTTTCTTCCTCCCAAGTACTAAAATGTAAAGGGAAACATATTTGGTAAACCACCACTTGGACTGGTTGCAACCTGGCTTTTTGATTATTTGACTATTTACCTTGGGAATAAACCAACTTTCACTTGCTGATTTTCTATTACTCTCATTTCCTGCCTGCTAACACTTAGATACTTTTTTCCACCTAAGAGCAGTCGGCAGATAAAATACATGAACAAAACAGATGTTACCAGAAACACTGATTTTTCCTTTTGCTATTTTTCCAAAGACTTCAGCTTGCCCTCCAGCCTCCAATTTGCGTTTTGACAGAATTAAGGCAACATAATGTAATTATCTGGAGAAACTGTCAAAATTGTTAGGTAAGAAGGCAAAAATCCTAATTGTTCTAATTAATCTCCTATCAACTTTACTCAGGGTATTAAAAATGAGAGAAGAAATAAGGCATGTGTGTGGAGGGAAATGAGTTGTGTGAAGTGAATTAGTGCATGTTTCCACCTTTGGAGTGATGCTAGCCAGCCGCTCCCTGAAGCCATCTAGAACAGGTTGCCCAGTGTAGTGCAGAACTATTTGCTGCTGGGCTTTCGAAATGGAAAACAGCAAAAAAATTCCTCAAGAAGCCAGGACTACGAATTCTGTGCATTACGCATTTAGCTCAGCAGAGACATTTTAGTTCCAAGAACGGTGTGGCCATTTTTGGTATTCCAGATCACTCTGGAGGGGATCCCTTCCATAACTGTCAGTTGCATTGCACGACCAGAAAACTGTATTACAGATTTCAGGGCAAGGCAGGTACACAAACCATTTGTGACTAGCAGTAAGTGATAGTGCCGTTCTGTTTTGGAAAAAGAAACATCTATGAAAATACTGGCATCATTTCAAAGTAAATATCCTTGCTCCCATTTCACTGGTTTCCTTGCATATATTGGGGCCTCACAGTGACTTCTCTCAGGTCTGGAACATAAGCTTCACAGATATCACAGATCTTGGGTCAGAGTCCAGGTAAGACATATTGCCCTTTTTGATTTCAATAAAGATATCATGCAACTTGTATGGAAGAAAATTAAAGAGGTGTCACTCAAAGTCTGAAAACATAAAGTCAAGGAACATGCTAGTCACGTTACAGAGATGCCTCCTCAGATTGTAGTGCGCTGAATCCAAATTACAGCGTTCTCCCATTGCTTGCAAACACAGTTAAAGTGAACAGGATGGAATGCTAATATGTAATGGATGTTTCCTGCCAAGCTGTGGCAGGAGTGTTTAGAAAGCCTTCTATTTAAGAGTACCAGCCTCTCAAAATCCATACTCTACCTCTCAGAAGACTCACATTCCAGCATGAACATTTCAGAACAGGCTAGGATGTTCATTTAAGACAAATTACACCAAATGCTGACTGACTACTATTAATGGAAGGACTCTGATATTTCTGTTAACATAGATACTATTGGGCATATCCCTGGGCCATATCCCTGACAACATAAGTTTGCTTTATATGGTGCTGCCAGAAGGAAATAAATTGTTATTCAAAATCTAGAGCACTGAAATGCAGGACAAATACACTTGAGATACTTCCTAGCCATCAAGGCTGTTATCACGATAAAAAGCTAGGAAGTCAGTTCCACCAGGACTCCAAAAGGTCAAGCGACCGCACAGGGATGACTGAGCCTTTACAAGTTTGGGTTTTTTCTTTTGTTTTTGGCAGTGGTGGGGTTCTTTTGTTTTGGGGTTTTTTACTTGGGCTCTCTGTTTCTTGAGACAATCCTGAAAAATAGTACAACTGTATTTGCCAATTATTGTCCTAAAGTAATAACCCAATCTGATCAAACCAACTCTTACTGGAGACAGTTCTGGTGTCTACCTTTGTTACAGTTACCTCGCATCCTAAATAAACTCATCATGAACAACTGACAGTTGCCAGTAGTTAACAGCCAAAACACTGCAAGAATAAGCACTGTTAATACAACTACCATAATTTCTATCACTGTTACTAGTAATCAATAAACAAGCAAGTTAACTAGGATTTTAAAGGAAAACTGTGCTAAGTAAAAAATAATGCAGATTAATTAACTATGATTTCATTTGACTAGTCATTTTCTTGAAAGCTCTTCTTGTCTCCCCTCAGAACTCTGCAGGCTGCAGAGATCAAAACCCCAAACTACCAATTAAAATTTACATTTCAAAATAGATTTCTTGATCTAGCTTCTAACACTATCAGATTTGAGAAGAAACTTCACAAAAGTTATCACCCATAACATTTCTTGAAACACTGCTGTTGAATGCCTAAACCCACATCCTACTCACATTAATCACCCTAACCCCAAAAGTAATTAAGAATGTGTTAGCAGTTGTATATTTTTCCAGAATCAGGGCCTTACTTGTACTATGAAACATGACCATTCATTTCACTTGGATTCTCATGTTGCCAGTCACACTGTCTACAAATACTGCAGTGCAGTGTTTAAAACTCTACTATAGAAATGGTACTAGAGCCAGCTGCTGGCTTCCCCCTCCCCACCTAATTTTCTTTTGGCACTCCCTTTCAGTCAATCTAAATCCAGTCTTTTGTTTTATAAGCTCCTCTTCTTAGGTAATCATCCTTAACTTTGTACTTTAACCATGATAACAATAAAAAAATAAAAACATATTTACAGCACCCATATCTTGATAGAAACCTGCATAAAAACAAATGTTCTAACAGATATTCATAAAACCAGATCACATTGTAACTTTCAGAGGTGGGGCTGAAAAGCAACCCAAACTCTAGCCAGGACTATCAGAACAGATATTGATTCTACTTACCCGCTCCTGTCCAGCTGTATCCCAAATTAGAAATTTATGCAGCTCATTTTGATACTGTACAGTCTTGGTCATAAATGAGGCTCTGGGGAAAAAAAAAATTACAGCTTATGCTTTTCAGGATATAAATACATTATTAGAACATTACCACCATGAACTTTTAAAAAGGTTTACATTCTAATAGAAGTGCTTCCCACCTCCCATAAAACCAATGAAGATCTTCATACATAAAGGCTGAAATTAATGAGGCAAAAGGCCTCAGAGGATGACATTTCCTTTCAGAGAATGAAATTCATCCAAAAAAATAGAAGGAACATGAATGCAAATTAGAAGCTTTTATTGTGCATAGTCTTTTGATAAAAACAAATCAGAAAGATCAGCCTTTTTAACAAGATTCATCCTAAGTGGAAGAATCACCACAGCAAATCACTTAAGTGTATACTGGAAACTTCTGGAGGGAAAAAGATCAAATCCTTTCCCTTTGCATCAGCTTTTTCTATCCCTGTACTAACATTCAGATAAATGCTGGTAAGTCCATATTTCGGAATAAAATATGGAAGATTCGTATCACTCTTGGTAGGTGTTAAAAGAACAGAGAAATCAATAATGAGTTGTTGCACTCCATACAGCTCCCAAATCCTGTCTGTCATGATATGCTTCAGTCTGCACGGGCTCTTGCACTTCCAGAAGACAAAGAAGTCTCTTCCTATGCTCCAGCTGCCCCCTCAAGTTCTAGATGTTTTACAGTAAAATATTGCAAAACATTGTAAAGTACTTCCATGCTTTACATGAATCACTGTATTTCCCACAAGAACAGGAATTCAGAGACCTAATCTTTTGCAAGAGGGAGTTCTTTGCTATATCTATTACCTGTAGGCACATTTTTTACTAGAAAACACACACTGAATTCATGTCCTTGTAGAATAGGAACTACAGATGCCATAATTCTTTTAAGCATATGAGATCCTATGTTATGATCTTGAACACCTTTTGTATGCCTAATTACTGTCACTTGAAAATATTGCAGACTTCCAAACTTGTTCTACTGTCAGTTTTGGACAGGATGCAGGATAGGATGCTGGAAGTGGCCTGTACTGGAGCTTCTTGCAGTACACTAAGCTTGCTATACATTCAAAGTCAGAGAACAAGAGTCTGTCAGCATGATCACCAACATTAAATACCAGAGTCCAAGACTCTGAACTTCAGTTCATCTTGGATCTTAAGTACCACCAAGGCATAGATTTTAATGATGTCCATGACATTTTTGTAGTTAGTATCACTGGAGTCTTAGACATATGTCAATGCTATAGGAGGACAACACAGCTATCTATATTTACAATAAAGAAAAGGAACAATTACACAATGCTTTCCACTGTTAAGAGGTAACCTCCCCATTCCTTAAGCTTAGATGTTTGCCAAATAGTACATCAATCTCCAAAGTTGATTACTCTTAAGAAGCCAAATATAAGGTTGCAGCATCCCTAGAAAGAGTCTAACTGCAGTGCATGTCACCACAGTTAACCAGATTATGTATTTTAGCAATGAGTAATAGAAAATAAAGCGATAGGAGTATCTGTTGTAAAGCACAAAGACTTCCACTTCCTTAAGACTGCTACAAATTAAGCATTAATTCTGAATTCTCTGGCCAATACGGGAACAATTTCCTAAATCACAGGTTCTCACTGAAAATTTATCTTACTCAGTTCTATAAACTGAAACATTCCTGTACAGTCAATTTGAACTAAACAGCTGTGTTGCTCTAACTCATATCACAACTAAATATACCAAACGGTAGCTGAGAGAGTTTAAAGAGAGTAGCGTTTAGAGATTAAACGCTACTTGAAATTCTTTGACAAGTGGAAGCTTTCATTGTGACAGATGTCAATTAAAAAACCCCAACAAACAAAAAGAGAACAAACAGTTCAAAGACAAACCACTTTGGGTCAACAAAAGCCTCCAAACTAGAGGTATCCTCAAGGACTTTTAGCAAGAAAGCAGGCATTATCCCTACTAAATTTCCTGGCTGCTTCTCTCACCCAAGTGGGATTATGTAATTATGTGAACAAGATGCACCTGAAAGTAATTTTATACTCATTCATAACTTCTTTTTGATGCTATAATGAAAGACTATTCTGCAGTACCTAGAGAAATATGCTGGTTAGGCAAAGCAGAATGTGTCCTCAGCATCCTGAGAGGGCTTCTGCAGCTGCCTGTATTTGAACCCAAATGATGAACAGTCATGACAACAAAGTATGATCGCTCAGAGAATTCTAAGAGGAATGGTAACAGGACAGGAACCATAAGATTCTCTCTCATGAACTCAAAAACCCAGAAGTAAACATAGAAGCATTCTCAGCTTCAGTTTTGCAAGCTGCTTAAAACTCCTCTCTAATAATTACTTCATTCTTTCTACCTCCTAGTCTCAATTAGGAAATAAAAACAAAATCTAGAAAGTTTCAAAATTAATTTGCCTAAAATTTTGGGACTGTATGTTACTGGAGCTTCACACACTCCTCCATTTGGGCAAGTTCCGATTCATTTATACTACTACAGCAAACTACCAAGATACCAAGTCCTCAGAGCAATGAATGATTTTAAGATGAAAAGATACAGATTTGTAGTCCGTCACTTCAAGAAAGTACACTAATCCCAGTATTGTCGTTAAACCCATGAAGACAAATTCTATTCTACACATTAGCCTCATTACCACAATGGTTATCATCTTCTAACAGCACCTTAAGTTTCTACACGGTATCTGTTATAGACCTTTTCCTGGGAAGACATGTGCATGTGATCTCTTTGGGTTCCTGCCTTCAAACAGATAGGTACTACATTGAGAGGGGAAGAAATCAACCTACACACCACAGTCAGAAAACGACCAGATTAAAAGAAACTGACTTTGGAGGGAAGACAACAAGATTTAATGAAGTTATTCAAGTTTCAGCCCTTGCCTGGGAGGAAAGAAAAAAGAAAAAAACACCCACAAGACCCTCTCTGGAGTTTTCTCCAGACTGTAGAAAATTCTACAGGATAGAAGCATCACAGATCACAATCTTTACCCTGCAGCTTTAGAGAGTCTTGCAAACATGCAGAGCCTAAAGCCATCAAGCACAGTATTTTAGAATTTGGAATCTGAAAGCAGACTTGAGGAGGCTGCAGTTCACATTTGATCAGAGACATAATGCAAATTCCATACTGGGTTACTCAAACATTTAACCCATGTAGCCTAGATGTGTGGTGATGTACGTATAACTACAGAACAGAGCATCCCAGCTAAATAAATAGGCACCTCTCATATTTGCAAAACCTAAGTCTGTGTTACCATACCTGGTCACCTACTAGACAAGCAGGCTTTAATCTTTTTTTTCCCTCTCCCCCAGGAACTGCATGCATGAACACAATGGGTAACTTTGGGCCACTGTAGATACTACCCATATTAGCCAACTGTTTAACAGACTGTTTCTAAAAGTATCTGATGACTAGGAATGAAGATGGATAACCAATTTCTCAAACACTTTGGGTAATAAGAAAAACAACTGAATCTTTCAATAGTATCCACTTGAAGAAGCAGCTTTGCTTGCAGTTGATACCACTATGGGCAGCAAGCCTAAACTTTCTATACAACCTGAAATTAAATGTTTAAGACAGCTTGCTCCCCTACTTAGCCAAACAGCAATATGACTACCATCTACATATCAGTTTCATGGTTCTCCAAAAAGAGCTTCTACTGTAGCTAATTTGACAGTAATTAAGAATGTTTAACCCTTGAAGATTTAAGAATACTTAGCAATCTCTCTCGAAGGCTACCTTTGTTAACAGGGAAATTTAAACAAAAGCATACTTCCTACAGAGTATCTTGCAATTTGATACCAGTATTTACACTCAAAAATAGAGGTGGGGAGTGTAGGGGAGAAGAGAGAGACCTACCAGGGGAACGACTTCTTTTTTTTTTATGAGGACAGGATGAGACACAGCTGATCTTTATCAGCAGGATCTTTTCTGGTCAAAGCTGTAGTACAGCCTGTGTGACACCTGAGACAGGAAGTTGCACTGACACCCCCCACATGCTTCTCAGCATCAAGTGAAGTCATGTCCTTCTGTAAGTAAAGAACTACTTCTGAGCAAAGCAGCCCATAAGACACTTGCAAAGCAAAAATGACACCAAAAGAAATAAAAAGATCCAACCACTCCAAGAATTCCTAATGCTCGCCCTTCCTTTGACCTATTTGAAGATTTGAGCTCACTAACATTGCTACTCTGAGGTGACAGCAATTGCATTAACAATTTCATCAGTTATTTACAAATGTGTGTATTGCATATAGATGAATGTTACAACTAATTCATGAAGAGAACTACAACCTGAATTAGTATTAGCTACCTTCAAAAACCTAGGAGACTTGTTATTGTACTTGACTCTTAAAAAAAAATTATGTAGTTGTGTTAAGAATTACATTTTTAAATTTCAAAGTAGTGCATGGGAAAAGCATGTTGTTCCTTCAACAGAAGCACCTATAGTGTAATTTATTAATAACCCAGGACTCCTAGTAGGACTTAGTTAGCTTAGATTCACAATACAAAATGGGTCCAGATCTTACACACGAAAATGGAAACTGCAGGAGTGCCAAATACATTCCTACGATGCCTAAGGTAGCTCATGAGCTAATTAATGCTGCAGTCATGTTTATTACCACATTTAGCTGCCACACATGGAGAATCCTCAACTGATCTATTCAGGAGGTACAAATATATATCCATACAATTTGGTTTTATTCTTGAATAAGTCACATTTACTTTATTTAGTTTCTTACCCTATTGTTGGGTTGATGTTGGGATCAAAGCTATCTTCCACAAATCTCCACACAATACTTGATTTGCCCACACCAGTGTCCTAAAAAAAGAACATAAACAGTTGAAAGAGACATTAGTTTCTACAAACAGATAGTTCTTTTTGTCCTCAAATCTTGTTTTATTCTTGAATAAGTCACATTTACTTTATTTAGTTTCTTACCCTATTGTTGGGTTGATGTTGGGATCAAAGCTATCTTCCACAAATCTCCACACAATACTTGATTTGCCCACACCAGTGTCCTAAAAAAAGAACATAAACAGTTGAAAGAGACATTAGTTTCTACAAACAGATAGTTCTTTTTGTCCTCAAATCTTGCAAT